AAAAGCTTCTGTGTGTAAAAGTGTCTGTGTGCAAAAGCGTCTCTGCGTAAAAGCTCCTGTGTGTAAAAGCTTCTGTGTGTAAAAGCTTCTGTGTGTAAAAGTTTCTGTGTAAAAGTGTCTGTGTGTAAAAAGCTTCTGTGTGCAAAAGCTTCTGTGTGTAAAAGCTTCTGTGTGTAAAGGCTTCTGTGTGTAAAAGCGTCTGTGTGTAAAAGCGTCTGTGTGTAAAAGTGTCTGTGTGCAAAAGCGTCTCTGCGTAAAAGCTTCTGTGTGTAAAAGCTTCTGTGTGTAAAAGTTTCTGTGTAAAAGCTTCTGTGTGTAAAAGCTTCTGTGTGAAAAAGCTTCTGTGTGTGGAGCTTCTGTGTGTAAAAGCTTCTGTATGTAAAAGCTTCTGTGTGTAAAAGCGTCTGTGTGTAAAAGTCTCTGCCTGCAAAAGCGTCTCTGTGTAAAAGCTCCTGTGTGTAAAAGATTCTGTGTGTAAAAGCGTCTGCGTGTAAAAAGCTTCTTTGTGTAAAAGGTTCTGTGTGTAAAAGGTGTAAGAGCGTCTGTGTCTAAAAGCTTCTGTGTGTAGAATCTTCTATGGGTAAAATCTTTGTGCATAAAAGCTGTTCTGTGTAAAAGCTTCTATATGTAAAAGCTTCTGTGTGTAAAAGCTCCTGTGTGTAAAAGCGTCTGTGTGTAATAGCTTGTGTGTAAAAGCTTCTGTGCGTAAAAGCTTCTGTGTGTAAAAGCTAGGCGTCTGTGTAAAAGTGTCTGTGTGTGACGCGTCTGTGTGTAAAAGTGTCTGAGTGTAAAAGCTTCTGTGTAAGAGCGTCTGTGCGTAAAAGCTTTTGTGCCTAAAAGCGTCTGTGTGTAATAACGTGTGTGCGTTAAAGTGTTTCTGTGTAAAAGCGCCTGTGTGTAAGAGCGTCTGTGTGTAAAAGCGTCTGTCCCTAAAAGCGTCTGTGTGTAATAACGTGTGTGTGTGTGTTAAACTGTCTGTGTGTAAAAGCGCCTGTGTGTAAAAAGCTTCTGTGTGCAAAAGCTTCTGTGTGTAACAAGCTTCTGTGTAAGGCGTCTGTGTGTAAAAGCTTCTGTGTGTAAAGGCTTCTGTGCGAAAAAGCTTCTGTGTGTAAAAGCTTCTGTGTGTAAAAGCGTCCGTGTGTAAAAGTTTCTGTGTAAAAGTGTCCGAGTGTAAAAGCTTCTGTGTGTAAAGGCTTCAGTGTGTAAAAGCTTCTGTGTGTAAGAGCGTCTGTGTAATAACTTCTGTGTGTAAAAGTGTCTGTGTGTAAAAGTGCCTGTGTGTAAAAAGCTTCTGTCTGTAAAAGCTTCTGTGTAAAAAGCTTCTGCGTGCAAAAGCGTCTGTGTGTCAAAGCGTCTGTGTGTAAAAGCGTCCGCGTGTAAAACCTTCTGTGTGTAAAAGCTTGCTGTGTGTCAAAGCTTCTGTGTAAAAGCGTGTGTGTGTGTGTAAAAGCGTCTGTGTGTAAAAGTGTCTGAGTGTATGGGAAAAATCTTCTGTGCGTAAAAGCTGTTGTGTGTAAAAGCTTCTATATGTAAAAGCTTCTGTGTGTAAAAGCTTCTGTGTGTAAAAGCTTTTGTGTGTAAAAGTGTTTGTGTGTAAAAGCTTCTGTGTGTAAAAGTTTTTGTGTGTACAGGCTTCTGTGTGTAAAAGCTTCTGTGTGTAAAAGCTGCTGTGTGTGTGTGTGGGTTTGTGTGTGTGTGTGTCTGTGTATATATACGTGTAAACATGTTTCTCTGCGTGTGTCTGTGTTTGAGAGCCTATCAGCATATCTGCATGTGTTATTTTTCACATCTTCAATAACCTTCTATACTATACAGCATACCTTGTCTGTCTCTTGCAACTAAAACCCTGACATCTTCACATCTTCTTACCTTGACATCTACACATAATGAACATATTCACATGAACATATTCATGCAAGTCTTTGGCGTCTGCAAATCATACAACTACATAACACATCTGAGTACCTATACACCTACTCGCTCTCGGGCCAACCATCGTCTAGTTTTTGTATGCACACATTATTCTTATCAGAACCCTGTGGAAACTGTTTTTTCTCTTTGACTGGCAACTTTCTGTGAATGCCAGGGCGTGCACCCACTAAACGCATCTGTTCCAGTTCTTGGGGGCTTCGGAACTAGCGGATCACAAGGCTTCAAATATCTTCAAATCAAAATCAACAATGCCGACAATGCCATTTCTTTAGCAAATCTTCTTGAGTGAAGACCCGCCAACCTAACAACCCAATCCTCCAGCCTGCACTTCAATGCAATACATCAACTTCATGCAGCCAGAGAAGCATTGTTCACCAGCCCGAACCAAACAGGGATCTCATTCTGACCCAACTGAGATGAAACGTCGATCTCAATTCCCAGCATGATGGCATTGCCTCAACCGGGCGCCCAACGCCGGCACCAAATAGGTAAATAAATCAGGAATCAACTGACAACACCCTGCAGTCATGGACAACTACAAATTGCACATCCTTGTTTTTCTTGGCGTTCGCCATCAGAATCTGCCCCAGTTGCCCAGGATCAAACCCATGATGATGTTGTTGAACAGGGTGGACGACAAGAACCTGTCACGCAGGAGTCTCCGCCCTACACCTTGAAATCTGGTCGGATTACCTCCCACCAGTGGGAAAAATCGTCATGCGTCAGGCTTCAAATCCACTGCTCAGTCCCTCCCTGCGGCAAGGGACTTTGCCAAGCGCTCCCGCCGCGTCTGAGGTTTCGTGAACATGGAATACCGAATGCCCGTGCGAACGAAAGTCAATCTCCTGAGTCAAATTGTACCAGAATGGCATAGAACGTTCTAGGCCATTCAGACCCTCCGAAATTCAAATCTGCTTCTGGCAACTTCCTCATAAGCGACATGTTGGGGACTAGATTGCCGATTTCAACATTTCCCATTGGAAGGCGAACGGAGGATAAGCCGAAACCTATGGAGCCGTGAAACGGCTCAGTTCTGGAGATCCAAGACTCGAAGCAGCCTCCTGCGCCTTCACATGCTGTGCTAACATCGTTTTCCGCACAAAGGACACACGGCTGCTGCCGCGTCGCATCCTGAGTAATAGCCATGCCTGGAACAGAACTCTCGGTTGTACCCACCTGATTTCGCGACTACTTTACTGGTATTACCGCAAACTTTGGCTGGTTTTGCGTGTTTTACTTTCTTTCGTTTGAATCTCATGTCTCAAAATCCTGATTTCAATTTCGATGATCGCACTCCAATGATATCTATACAAGCACATCCGCAGCAACTAGCGCCAAGTTTCTCCTTCACCCTGTGGGTGTTGCGTATCGCGGAACGCCTTGTGTTCGAATCCATATCCTCCATATCCTCGCTGGACTCTGTAGGGTCCTTCATATCTCCACGGCTGGAACTCATGTCCTCCTGACAGGTTTCTGTCGCGACGAAAAACACCACGCACGCAATGTATGACGTGTATGTATCAACATTTCCCAGAAAAAGTTGGATTAATCCCCCCAACAAGGGTGCTATATGATGCTATATGGATCTATCTGGTGCTTCAATAAGCCACCCACCATGGAAAGCTCCTGACTGCTTCGACGGAGGTGAATAATGCGCTCGCCAGGACTCATGGGAGGATTCAATGGAGACATCTCACTGATATGACTCGCACGGCCAAAGACCTCCCCAGCCGCCTTTGGAACCTAGACAGCAAGGCCGCAGCAAGGCTCTCAAAAATTACATTTTTTTTGGTAGAGTTGTTTTCAATTCAGCATATATCACCATGTGTCATCATGTGCCATCTAATTGATCACTGACTACGGGTTCCTTTCTTTGGGAATGATTTTTGAAGACTAAAATGATTTCCAGAACAAAAAACAAAGTGAGGGCCTCTTACCCGATTCCCAACATCAACCAAATCTAAAAATGTGTGGCGAGGCCGCACAAGGTCGCCAAAATGTAGCGCCACCCAGTTCACCAAGTTTTGCAGCAATGACCTATGTCCCCCTTGGTGGTTTTGACAAGGAATACTGTGAATACTAAAATGCCATCAACGTTGCAGGCTCCCATCATAGACATCAACAATTCGTGGAAGATGGATGGGCGTGGTCATGGCCAACTTGGTATGGCCAACTTGGATGAACGAATTCGGATGGCCGGAAACCCAACCACAACAAAGAACGCGAGAGCGGCCAAAGTTTGACATGTTTGACGTTTAAAAATGCAATAGCTGGCGTTTCTCAATATCTTGGTATCATATTTGTTCAAATTGTCTCATCATGTCACATGTCCAATCCATCCAGGCCAGTTCATGATTGGAATTGGTTCAGTTGTTTTCAATGTATCAAATTTCAATGTCAAAATGAATGTGACAACATTGTGGCAGCAAGCAACTGCGAAGTTTGCGCCGGTGATGGTGGATACTCGCTGGTTCCTTGATTTCCCAGCGTGAATATTCACTGTTCCCGCCTGGGTGCTTTCCGCATTTATACCAACGTCCCCTCAATCGCCAATACCAGTACCATCCAAAACACAAATGATAGAACCTCCACGATTCAACCCCTACATGAAAGCTTCGCAGTTCCGAGAAAATTAATCACAAATAACTTGAAATCCAATACCAATATGCCAGCTTGGGATGGAAGTTTGTCAAAAAAACATAGCCTTCATAGATCACCCTCAAATGCTGCCTCTATAAATATATATATACATATAGAAAGAGAAATTTAAATTCAAATCGCCTCAACCCCAAGAAAAAGTGTGTGCGCCATGAACTTGTGTCGCAGTTTCTCCTGGATCAGATGGACTTCCCTTACGATGTCCTGCATCGCCGAGTCCTGCTCATCCAAACGCAGCGCCATATAGTGTTGCATCTCGTCCTCAGGCAATGAAAAGTGGTGGGATGCGTTGTTGGGATGCGCTGCTTTGTAAAATAGTAGTTTGTTTTTTGAAAGGTGGGCAAGTTTTGACTCTACTATTTGTTGGAGTTACTACAATACTACAATACCTTTCTCACCAATCCACTTTTGACATTGCATGGCCACAATTTGACCCACATTGAGCTGGTCTGAAAAGTAGTTGATGGTTTCCCGCTTCCCCATCATGTGGCAATGATTTGTTCAGTCATATCATTTCTTGGGCATTCGGAACCAGCATGTGTCAGTTTGTGATATCGCCGAACTCAAGGCACCAGTTTATCCATGAGAAGTCGGCCATCTGCACCCCATCCAGCATTTTCTTCCCCGAATCGGGCATGGCGGTAGGAATTTCACTGGAAAATCTGCCGAAAATGAAATTGGATTCCGTCAATCTGCTATACTATCTATACTATACACCACTGCAAAGCAAATGGGTATTCACCCGTTGCTCTAAGCAACCCGGTTATTTTTTGGGAATCAACAAACAACAAGCAAGAAATATGTTGTAATCAAAACATTGTTGTTTCGTAGGCGGAATGTTGACCGTCTTGACGCCGAAAACACGACATCTCACATGTGAACGTCCTCACTCTGACGACTTTTCTCCAAATGACTCTGGAACCAAGCAACTACTGAACCAAAATGCGTGCGTTGTGATTTTTCGTTTGTTCCGAGCAGCACTGCCTATGGGTCTAAGATAAGTGTTTGGCAACTGGGCGTTGTGACATGCCACCAGCACAAAAAAAAAACAAAACCCGGCAGGGTGACCTTGGAGCGCAGGCAACGAGCCGAAATGTCTGCAAAAAGTAAAGTCTCAGCACCAAAACAAAGTTGGTTCGTGTTGCGGACCTCGCTGTATGATGAAACCGAAACCTCGTTGCCACAAAAAAATGAGCGCCCAACCTCATTATATTTTTTTTGTCCATGTTTTTCCACACGTTTGCAAACGGTTCTATACCAAAATCAAATCTTCAAGGAAACATTGCCAGCATCAACATGTTCATCTGACTGCAAGTTTTTGAGCGGGTGCGTGGGTTGTTGCGTACCCATTGCACTCAAAACAATTGTATGGAACACCCATGTTTTCAAACTCAAATGTGTGCATTGCGGCGCTATTCGAAGTTCGGGTTGGTGACTGGAACTGAATTTTCAAACAACCGTGAAAATCAAAGATCCAACTGTAGCTGAAGGTTGGTAGGGATGATGCCAAACATTTAGGCCACCTAGCAACCACAAGGTCACCTGTTGATCCTGCAACTGGCCAGCCACGTTTTCACTTACAATCGCGTTTGTTGACCACGTTTGTTGGCGCATTATTCTGGAAGTTTTGAAGCTGAATGGATTGTATGATTTTTTTAACCGACCGCATTAATTTTGTTTCCCCGCCCTTTCTTGCAAACTCTGTGCGCGGCATAGGTGCACACTTCATTGCAACAAAAAAACAATACCGGACTTCCAAGTTATGGGAAGGACTGATGAAATATATAGCTGAAAAGTGCGTAGCTGTGAAAATATGATGACAACACCAACAATGATTGCCGCCAACACACGCTGCGCCCATGAGCAAATTGAATGAATGAATGAATGAATGAGTGAATGAGTGAATGAATGAATGAATGAATGCATGCATGCATGCATGAATGAATGAATGACTGAATGAATGACTGAATGAATGAATGAATGAATGGATGGATGAATGAATGAATGGGTGAATGAATGAATGAATGAATGAAGGAAGGAAGGAAGGAAGGAAGGAATGAAGGGATGAATGCATGAAATCACGAATGCATGCCTGCATGATTGCATGACTGCGGGAATGCGTAAATGCGTGAATGAACGACGGAACTAAGAAACGAAGAAACAAAAAAAAAGAAGAAACGAAAGTTAAGGAGTGAATGAATAAATGAATGACTGAATGAATGAGCAAATGAATAAATGCATGGATGAGCGCATGAACACACAAAGGCACCATTGAATGAAGGAAGGAATGAATGAGTGAATGAACCGGTGGGTGAATGAGTGAATGAGTGAGTGAATGAATGAATGAATGGATGAGTGAACGAATGAATGAATGAATGAATGAATGAATGAATGAAAGATTGAATGAACGAATGAATGAATGAATGGATTGAATGAATGGATTGAATGAATAGATTGAATGAAAGCATGAATGAAAGAATGAATGAATGAATGAGTGAGTGAGTGACTGAATGAATGAACGAACGAACGAACGAATGAATGAATGAACGAATGATTGAATGAAAGAAAGAATGAACGAATGATTGAATGAACAAAGGAACGAATGAACGAACGAACGAAGGAAGGAATAGATGGATGGATGGATGGATGGGTGGATGGATGGGTGGGTGGGTGGATAGATGGATGCATGAATGAATGAATGAATGAAGGAATGAATGAATGAATAAATGAATGAATGAATGAATGACCAACACCTGCATGCCACACGGCAACACAATAGGGGCGCAGGTAAGAAACGCCCATAAAAACTCGTCGGAGAAGTCCGCCAACGGGCCTCACCCCAACCCCATCTCTCGTCGAGCATCTGCCAACAAACAGCAGCGGCGTGCTGGAGAATGAGAGAGTCACCCAAGCCCAGCTACGCTGTGATTATGTTATTCGGCAAATTCGGACGGTTAACCCCAGCGAGTAGCCGAATCCAACAATTTTTTACTGATCAGCAATAGGAATCACCTGTTTCAAAACGGACAGTAGTGCTGCTTTCTGGCCGTAATGCATGCGGCATGGCATGGGAATTATTGTGACCGTTTCGGGAATTTTTCCCGAAAGCGTCTGAGCGCAGAGTTCTTCCAATAGTGGGGGTTTGTCTCTCATTTTCTCATCTATCATTCTCATCTTCACACCTTCTCATCTTCACATCTTCTCATCTTCATATCTTCTCATCTTCACACCTTCTCATCTTCACACCTTCTCATCTTCACATCTTCTCATCTTCACACCTTCTCATCTTCACATCTTCACATCTGCTTATCTTCACATCTGTTCATCTTCACAATTTCTCATCTTCACATCTGCTCATCTTCACATCTTCACATTTTCACATCTCACTTCGCATGCTCTCATCTGCTCATCTTCACATCTTCACATCTTCACATCTGCTCATCTTCACATCTGCTCATCTTCTCCTCTTCTC